AAAGGACCGAATGATCTCAGCCGACTTACAACAGATCATGTGCACACTATCACGACAGTCCACGTGTACAAACAAGAAACAAATCTCAGCCACATACAAGGAACAAATATCAGCCACATATGTATCACTTGTAACACTATAAATAGAGATGTACAATAGGCAATAAATGTAACACAGATTGATAATACAATGAACTGAAATCACAATAAATCATCATTTCCTTTGTCTTCTACTACTTAGATTCTTCTTTAGTCACATTGTGAAAAAGAACTGGACACATATCTAACTTCATAAAATTTTAATCATACAAACACATAAACAACTAGATAAATTAAAATAAGAAAAATGATAGAATCGCCCAAAATGACAATGAAGATCATAAACTATTACAACAAAACTGATGTAGGCGAGCTTTGGTCCAGAATCTTGACAAGACATTTGAGAGTCTTTAACAACTAAGCCCATTATCATCGGCCCAAAATATTCTGTCGGCTCTTTCCTTGCACAAATCCACATAAGAAAACAAGTTATATTGTTAATCAAATAAATTAAGCTTTATACCTCTTTTTTTTTTAAGTTTCCATGATCAGTTAATATTATTTTGCCAACTCATGATAAATTGTTAGATCAAATTATATCGATCAATCACCTCAATTTGAATATCATACTTGCTTCTTTAAATTTGAATAAATATTTTTGTCATCTTGCACTTGAAATTATAATTATGACATGAATGGATGAATTTTTAAAAGCCTTTGATGTTTTTAATTAAAGTTTCATTTTTAGGAGGTGTTGGTCTAGTTTTAGATTATATTGATTCACATGCAATCACAATCCTGTAAATTCCTGTAAATAGAATGGATATGTTGGTTTAAAGTTCTGGGAAAAATTAAATAAAGCTTTATGTTGTTCGTTTTCCTCCTCCATATTCTGCACTCTTCCCTCTTCTCCCTCTCTATCTTGCACGAAGATCAAGAAGAGCTCAAAAAGATCTCAAGACGACTCCTGAATTCCTAACAATTTTATTAGCACAAAAATTTCAAACGAAACTTAAATTAGTAGAATCCTTAATTTTTATGAAACAAAAAAAAGCCTCAATGGGAAATTATATATATATATATATATATATTGAATTCATGTATTTGAGCATGCCATCATGAAACCATTGGAAATTTGATAAAAATGAAAAAAAAAAAAAAAAAAAAAAAGGGTGGGGTCCCCCAAGATATAAAACTATAGGTATATTCTACTTTTTTAAGCAATATAGGACATATTAAATCAAATATCTCAAAAAATAGCATATATATATATATATATATATATATATATATATAAGTAGCATAAAAATATTATTACATGGCTATTATTAATATTTACATCTTGCTATAAAATCTAAAGTCCTAAAAATATATATATACAAAAGTTATTATTGGCTACAAAAGTATACATATAACTTAAAATAAAATCAAAATAACATCACTGCTAAGCCTCAATCCGTTGGCTCGTTATATTTAATTGATATCATAGTAAAACCACATAACGAGCTTACAAAGTCCAACAAATAATCAAAACTCACCATCTGTTTTCAATGCAAGGCACAAAAAAAAAAACATATATGCCCAATGCTAATCAATACCAATTAATAAACTATCAATATGAATGATAAATAATCTATACAATTAATATTAATAAAAAATAAAATTCAATATGATTAATAAAATATGAGTATTTCACTAAGCAAAAGAAGTTTATCAACCTATAAGAAAATTAATAAAAAGTTTATAAATCTACAATAGGTATTGCGTTGAAATAAACATCGACCATTATGTCATATATAACTGTCTATCAATATGCTATATCAATCAATCTATTAATCAATTCAATATATATACTATCATGTGAATGTAATTATAAAAAGCAAGACATGACATCTAGCTTTAACGTGATATTTTTATCCTTCCATCCTAATCATCATTTAGTTGATCATAAGTTTTTAATTTAACCTCAATTATTGACCAATTGGATATCAGTATTTATCTAACAATTATTCGTTATCTTAAATCAATTCACATGTAGCTTTCAATAATCATTTAATAGTTTTTACTCTCTACATGTTGGTGTAATTTGATCAATCGGTTATAGACTATAACTAGAATTATATCACCAATCTTTTATTTAAAAGAAAGCCCTTCAGCCCACATTCCAGTGCATGGTATTATGTTTTTAAAGTCTTACTTATATTAATTATAGTAATAGTAATCAGTTTTCCTTATTTACATGTAATTATTAAATTTATTTCATATCAGTTGTATTAATCTCTCTTTCAGACATGAAATTCAACATGAAATGCTTAAATATATAAACGGCATGAAATATGTATATTATTTTATAACTTTAAAAAATTACAACTTTATTTTACCCAATAAAATTCAATAATATTACAATCTAAATGTCTATAAAATTCATATATATCGTATATAAAAAATTACATTATGAAAGTACGAATCAAAAGAAAATGCATTATTATCGATTTAAGAAAGAGAAAATTTGTCAAACTCAAAATCATTGAAAACCATAGTGAGTTTTGGGTAACTTACAACGATCATAAGGCCTTTTTTCTTATTGAAGCAATGAACAAAAATGACTTAAACAATCTTTCTCTCCCTTCACTTTCCTCTTTCTCTCCCTTCTCCCTTTCCATCCCAAGCAAGCCACAACGGTTGATGGAAAATAGCTTAGGATTTTAGGATTTAATTTATATAAGAATATTGTTAGTGGTCTAACGCTACAACACTCCGACCTAGCGCCACATTGCCGTATGTTGAATTCATAATTATTGTAGAGCAAAGACTCTAATGGCACGATGATAGTTTTTAGGGTAGTTGTGCTCTCAAGCATAGCATTGTAGCTACCAAGTACAACATCGAAGAGCTTTAGTTCAAACAAAAATTCAATTTTACTTTAAAATACTTTTCATATTTTGGGTTATATATAAGCTAATTTTATAACTTGAAAGCTCTAATAATTCATAGCTTATGTAATTAACAAGATATACTTAGCATATATTCTTTATGTGACAAGATTTTATTAGATCACATTATGTCATTCATGTATTTACCATTTAATGTAATTCTTTTTATATCATCTTGCCTTTATATCTTGAGTGCTCACTTATACTCAAGGAACCCAATAGCTAGAATTTTGTACTCTATGCATTTAGTACCCAAAAATTATTCGTCAAATATCCAAAAAAATTTTTTACTCGAACAAGTTAAATTCTAGAACTCAATAAACTCGATCCTCTCTTATAAAATTACAAAAGAGAGAGAGAGAAGAATAGATGAACAAAAAACCTTTAAAGAGGTTGAATCTAAAAAATTTAAAATCAACTTTTAAATTTAAAGCTAGTCAACTTCAGGCAAAAAAGTTGTCATATTAACAACTTAGGTCTAAATTGGAGAAACATATTTCCAAATTGAAGCTCAATCAGATAAAGAAAAAACAGACTAACTTAAGTTCGGCATTGAAGTGATCTAGCTTAGGCTATAGTTTTAAAGTGATTAACTTTGATATATTAATTTTTATATTCTTTAAGCTTTCATATAAAAGAGACATAAAAATCTGGACACTAAATGTATATCATGAATTGTTAATGCTAAGCTTGAGTTATCTTAACCAGTTAAAAGATATTGTTCTCATGGGTCAATAGGATCGAACCACGTTAATTTGTGGCTATAGTGGCCTCATCTTATATATGAAAAATTATAATGCTTCTTTCATATAATAAACTAAATATAATCAACATATCTCGTTAATGTGATAGTATTTAATTATGTCATTAATGTATAATTCTTTTTATATAATATTGCCTCTACTCTCACCTATAAATAGGGGTCACGGACATGCAACAACTTTTTTTTTTTGAGACATTTAGGCCGTTTAAGGCAAACTAACACACATAATGCATACACAAAGACTCAAACATAATACCTCTTAGTTAGAAGCATAAGCTCTCAACCAACAAGCCAAGGTGAGCTGTGTGACAAGCAACAACTTATTTGTCTCAATTTAAGTCTCTCCTTTTGAGCAATGAAAGTATAAAACTTCTCTCATATCTCTCTCTCTTTTCTCTTTCTTTCTAGTTCTTTACTTTTTGTTGTCAATATTAGGAACTTTTATTTGGTCCGGACACCTGACATAGCTCTATACGTTCGGACATCAGTGAAATAGTGCCACATTTTCTTACTTTTTACCGCGCGGCCCGACAACCCGACCCGGTACGTATTGCTCGGTATTGCTAGGTATTTGTCGATTTTGCTCGGCAATAATGAGAAATACCATTCTTTGAAGACCAATACCGAGCAATACCGGTACATATTGCTCGGTATTGCTAGGTATTGTCGATATTGTTCGGTATTGCTCTTGACAGAGCGGTATTTATTGTTATTGCCAAGCAATACCGAGCAATACGCGAACATAGCAATCCAGGGTTCCGGTCCGGGTCAGGTCATCGGGCCGCGTGGTAAAGAGTAAGAACACGAGGCGACATATCATTTACATCCGAATGTAAAGCTACGTCAGGTCACCTGACCTAATAATTGTTCCAATATTAGGGGAAAGTTATGAGTATCACATACCGATAAAATTGAATTCAATAATAATGTTGGACAGGGAAGCATTAAATATATAGATAAAGTTAGAAACCAAAATGTTTAAAATACATTTTACTATATTTATCAAATAATAATATTGACCTCAAATTTTTATTGTCGATGGAAAAAAATTAGCTATAGATATTAATCTTTATTCAATAAGCGATTGCTTTATTTTATAATAAATATAATGGATAAAAATTTAATTAAATATTAATTACGCTTTTTTTAAGTAAATCTAAAAAAATTAATAGCCATTTTATCACAATTAAAAAAAAAAACTTCCAGAGTTCGCTTACTGCCCCTAGAACATTCCGTGACACGTCATCGCTGTTTTCCTGTTGCTCCTTCGATTACCATATAAAAGCCGTAGGCGGCATTTGCTCTGGCATTGGCGGTCCAAAATCTTCTGCGTTTCGCTCCTCTCGGTGCTCTTTTCTCTTCGGATCGCCGCGCAACCCTAACCCTTAAGTGGGTACGCCTTTTCTAATCCCCGAGGTAATTCTTTGTCTTCTGGCAATATTCGCTCTCGCAACTTCTGGTGCGCCTTTTCCGATCTCAATCATTTTCTCTTGTAGTTCGTAATTGATGATTGTATCTTTTTTTTATATGTATTGCTATATTGTATACCTGACGATTGTTGTTGCTAATTGAATCCCTGTTTACTAATGTTTCGTTCGTCTGTTCTTCTCTTTTGTTTACATCTACATTTGGTTAAGGTTCTTGGGGAACGTAGTTGTCTTTATTTTTTTTTTCGTCCTTCACAAGAAATAAATGAAATTTAATATTTTATGTTCCGTGAATTCTAGGTTTCTTGGTAGAATTGCAGATTTTTGTTGAATATATTGTTGCTGAGTCGGTCTGCTTAATGTGCTTTCTTACGTGTTCGAAAATATATTATTCCGTGCTTCTTGCGAGGGATTAGCCAGTATTGTTATGGTGCAAACATTGGTTATGTTTCCAAGCACACGGTAGGAAATCAAGCCTATTGAGGCATGGATTGTGATGTTATTTTGGTTATATTGCATATAAGATGTTTTTTTAGTTTAGGTCAAATTCAGACAATTCTAATGCCTCTAATTAATCAGTTAAGTAGTTGTGAAAGGATGTTTCATCCTGTGAAATTACAATGTTTTTGTGGAATCATGTGCTCCAGTGACCTTTTTTGCATGTGCACTTTGTGTGCGCACATCTCTACTTTGAGAAAAAAAATCAGTTGGCAAAAACAAATTTATTCTTTTTTTCTGTAAATTTAAAAAAAATCAGTTGGCATAATTGATGCATAGCATTTTAGCTTAAAATGTTTCTTAAGTTATTTTATTTAGTTTGTTATAAATTTTCTAGAATCTTTTAGGATTCTATAGGTTTTCTCTACTTATGTATTATATATATGGAATGTGTAAGAGGAGTGTGATATAATTGATGAATATTATATGAATTGAAGCCTTTGATCTTGGTTTGTCCTCTTGTTCTTGGAAATCCTTCAAGCATCATCTCCTTCCAATGATGTAAAGACAATCTCCCCACATCAGTTGGTTTCAGAGCTCGAAGCTTGTGAAGAACGATGGACTGCAGAAGATGGGCTGTTGACGATGATCGAAGCTGAAGAAAATGGGTAGTCGATAAAAATCGACGTCAAATAAGATAGGCGGTCGACGAAGATCGCTGCTGAAGGAGATGGGTGGTCGACGATGATCGACGCTGAAGGAGATGGGCGTTCGACGCCGAAGGAGACGACTATCCTCCGCTCCAACTTCCGCTCCAATGGCGAGATCTGCCTCCCCACTATCCTCACGTAGATAACCACCAAAGAAGAAGTGCTGTCCACCGTGACAGACGCTGTGAAGCCCTTCACGTGGCTCAAGTGGAAGCATCATTTGATCGGATTGATGATTTATTTGCTGATTTCAATCGTTCTTTAGAACGAGTATGCACATCGGTAATCGAATTATCTTCGACCATTTAGTCACACGTGCTCGCAAAGACCGATTCCGCACTTGCCCGACCTCCTCTGCTCCCGCACGGTGTGCCACGACCCGAATCCTCCCCCACCTCAGCTTTCTCCCGTGATTCTTCTTCGCTAATGTCTTATCCATATCCATCATTTGCCCCCACAATTGCTTTCTTCGAGCTTGCTGAGCAATCCTACCCTGTTCGCAAGCTCACCCTGGTCATTGCCACCAGCGATCGGTACCTCTGCAACAGATTCAATAATGATATCTTAAAGCAAGCAGAATCGCATATTTTTTAAATCAAAGCCAAGGTCTTTATGGTGTCGAAGGGCCTTCGTGAGAAAAGCTCAAATCATCATGACCGTAATTGGGAATGTGATCGAAATCGGAACGAGTTCATGATCTCAATTCCATCCCCACTCCCACTCCCACTTCATTTTCGATGTCGCTTCCACTCTGATCCTGTGATGCCATCGTCCTCGCCAGAATACTGTGTTCTGCTCTTCCATGTACCATAATTGCCTAAATATGAAGTTGACAGGGCGGATGATCTGACCACATAGTGCCATCCTCATGTTGCCCATTGTTCCAGGCTCCAGATCCATCAAAACCACCCTAGGAACGAATCTTCCACAAGATGCCTCGTAATAGATGTTAACCCTCTCCAGCTGCAGATCGAACATACCCTGTACCTCCCTGTGGGATCGATTCCATACTCGTCACTCACCACCTTTCAAAACTTAGATCTGATCTGGTTTTCAAATTGTCCACCCTTCACGTGATGGATTTCTCCCATCTTCCTAATTTATTTACCCATTTTTCGGACTTGGTAAACTCACAATGGATGATCACCAAGAAAATGAGACAGCGGCTAGCTATCCTCTTTCATTGAATTGAATGTCCAAACATCTTGCTTTGGAGTGCCATACTCCAAGGAGCTTCAAGTGGTATTGGCACAGAAACAGCTCGTATGCTTACTTTGTGAGGCGTTCATGTCATCCTAGAGGTCAGAAATGTTTCTTCTTAACAATGTGAAGGAAATGATTCTGAAGGAGATCCCATTTGCTAAAGTTGATGCCTTGGAATTAAACCTCCGTTCAATGGCTTATGTGAGTAAAATTGCAGCAGATTTCAATTCTCTAAATCTCCTTTAAATATTTTAATTAACAATGCAGGCGTGGGGATGTCATCATTCATGCTCTCACAAGATGGCATAGAGAACCCCCTTATGTGGTGTAATGCCAAAGGTTGCTTAGAATCAGCTTGTAAGCTATTTGATGAATTGACTGAGAATAATCTTTTCTCATGGAATGCCTTGATTGGTGAGTTCAGCAGTAACCAGCCGCCTCAAATAGTACTAAAGTTTGTGGATGGAATCAAGAGCTTAACATGTGATTCTAGTTGGGGTAAAGAATTCATTCCAATGGTCAAATATATTGTTATTTCTATCGATGGAGGTTTGCAAATTTGTGAAAATCGAAAGGAATTCATTTGACTGATGAATGAGCATGCAATTATGCATCGAAGACGTAAAATCTTTGATCCATGAGGTAACTTATGTTTATACATCTATCTCCTTATCTAATGCGTCTCGACAGAGTCAAGTTCTTTTGATGTAAGGGGAGAATGATGCGGAGCATTTTAGCTTAAAATGTTTCTTAGGTTATTTTATTTAGTTTGTTACAAGTTTTCTAGAATCTTCTAGGATTCTCTAGGTTTTTCTTACTTAAGTATTATGTATATGGAATGTGTAAGAGGAATGGGATAAAATTGATGAATATTATATGAATTGAAGCCTTTGTGCTTGGTTTGTCTCTTGTTCTTGGAAATCCTTCAAGTATCATCTTCTTCCAATGATCCAACGACGATCTCCCCACATCAATAATTATCTATGTTTGTGTATTGGTGGTTTTATTGGAAGAGATTCATTGCAAGATTATATTAAATGCTTAAAATGAAATGGGGAAATGCTTGAAGTTGGTGAAAAATTGGCTGCTTAATAAATATAAAATCGTTAAAGACAGTCATACTTGCAGTTTGGCTTGTAATTGACTAAATTTAAGTATTTAGGAAGTAGGTCGCCTCAGTCCTTTTCTCGTTCATTTGCACAAGGTTTACCTATTTAACTTAGAGAAGATTAAGCTAATGGTTTATGTTTAATGATTCACATGTAAAGATCTAACTTTTTATTTACCATTTCATGTTATGATTATTCCCATCTCTTTCAGTCCCATTCTCACTTCACTTTATATGAGAGACGACCCACATGAGATGTATTCATCTAAATGAAAGTATAGATATATTTTGTATCCAAATTAAAGTATTTACATATTTTGTATCTCATGTGAATGTCGAGCTTACTCTTCCATGGGTATCATTGCGTTTTTTATTGGTCCTTTAACCTTAAAAAATTATGATCATGCCATTGTGTGGTAGTCATATATTTTCTTCTGCAAACCTTTGGCACTTATTGAAGATGTAGGACATGAAGGACCCAAATGTTAAGCTTAAATATTAGTTCAATAACATCTAAAATTGAACATTAGGGCTTATTTTTTTGTTCTTCTTTTAATTATAGACTATTATATGCTCTTTAATTAACTCACCTGTTTTCCTACTTCCAGCGTGTCTGACTTTATTTTTGAACATTAAATGGTGTTATTGATTGCGTTATTTTGTATTCACAAAAAAAAAAGAGAGTAAATGAAGCTAATAACGGTGAAAGTTGCCATTATTTTTGGTCATATATAGTCTATGAGTTTCTCACCCATGTAACCCCATGAGTCAAATGCATGCCAATAGTTGTTCACCATGATCACTAGGCTAGCATAGGTCACTCTTTCACATATAATTAAAATAGATCCCTATTCTAGTGAGATAGTTATCTTTTCTCTATTAATTTATAGTCAAGTTCACTTTTTTAATCAAGATTGATCTTAATATTTTATATGTATAAAAGTTGCTAATAAGAAATGTTTTACATGTATAGCTTAATAATGATTTATGCTAACTTTTTTGGTGTAGATTTAGCATATTTTAGGATTTTGTTTATGCATGAGGATGCTAATTTTATGTGGGATAAAGTGGCTAGTGTTATTAAGAATATTGCAAAAGATGGGTTCGGAATATCAAAGGAAAAAGCTCTTAATAGTAAAAACAATTTGTGGTGGAATCCAAATATGCAAGAAAAGATAAAAAATAAGAAGATTTATTATAAACATTAGTTTAGATGTAAAATTTTTGATAATTGGGAAAGATATAAAGAGGCATGTAAGGAATCTAAGAAAATAATATACAATGCAAAAATCTTAGCTTTTAATGATTTATATAATAAATTAGATACTAAGGAGGGAGAAAGATATATTTATAAATTAGTCAAACAAAGATATATGAGTAGTAAGGATTTAGTTTAAGTGAAATGTATTAAGGATGAAGATCAAAAAGTACTTTTCTTAAAAAATAATATTCAAACTTGTGGTATGAGAAAGCGGAAGCAAAGCTATATACGACAAATAAATGCTAAGCCTGAAATGTTTGATAACGATG